TAACAATAAAAAGTATTAAAAATTTATTTTATTTTTTGTTACTTTTGTGAATTAATTTGTATTTTTTTGTTTAATTAGGATCTTTTATTTCAATTTAAAATAAAAACGTGTACTTAGAGATTTTTGCGAAATAAAATCCTGGTTACGGCCCTGTTCATAACCACACTCATTACGCCTTCGCACATCTGAATCAAGTCATTTTTCCACCTCTTTGATCAATTAAAGTGAGTGAAAGTGAAGATGTTCGCCTTCAGATCGCAAAATTTAACCTTTTATTCCCTTCGAAGTCTTCGAGTTCGACTCGGAGGATGTAGTCCTCGTTGTTGGTCAACATGTAGATGTTTTCGTTCCCCAACCAGAACTCTTTGGCCGGGTCCCCGAAGCCGTTCTTGTAGTCGTTCCAATCCCGGTTGAAGTTCTCTCTGGGGTCGCCGAAGTCGTCTCGRCGTTGAATCACCTYAAGAGAGGAAAGTTTAATAGATATTATTTAATTGACGTTATTTGCGGTGCACCTGCGAGTTAAGAGTTGTTTAGTGTCGGTCTTATTAAGCGGATTTATGGCCGAGGAAAACAGGGAGGGACTGAGGCGGATTGGGTCTAGGACAGAGAAGGAGTTTTGCAGGAAAAAAATATTTGTGCTCTGGTCACTTTTATTTGATTTATTCGGAGGTGATGATGAAACGGTTTTAGTTTCCAAATTGGACATTTTTTAAAGATTGCACTCAAATGTCGATTTGTAATTTCTCCTAAATGTCACATTTGGTTTAATAGAATCAGCGTTTTTTCTGAAATAAACATATTTAACATACAAATTTGGGTTTCATTTTTTTCTGTTAAAAAGCTCAAGAGTTTTATTTACTTTTAATGTAATCAAATTCCATCGGATTCGAAAATGTTTTGTTCTTCTTTTTTTTACATATTTTTATCTTTATCATTATTTCTATCATATTATATTTCTTATTTTTCTTACATTTTGTGTAAATCAATAAGAATAAATGAGAGAAACTATTAATTTTATTAATAATTAAAAAAAATTCAAAGAAATAAAGGTATCCTTGTTTTATTTTGCTCAAATAAGCTAAAAAATCTCCCAATTATAGGTAGGTCAAAAACGGTGTCATTTTTAATTTTTTGAGGGTTTAAGCAKGTTTTTTGCTTCAAATTTACTGTTCTCAAAACAGACACAATTCATAGTTTTTTCAAAAAATCTAACTAAACTAGGTCATTTAGGCCCATAAATCACCTATTTATGTATGAATTTTTTTTTAATTTTAAGTTATTTTTGATTTGAAGCAGGTAAAATGATGTTATTCTTGCATTTTTGAACAATTAAACACGTTTTGGAGACAAAAATTGAGTTTTTTTGGTTGACGAATAATTTTTCTGCAAAATCTCATCATAGAGAAAAAAA